AAGCGCGAGTTTAACCAATACTTAAAATCCCCATTTTAAGCACTCGTGAGTATAATAACAATCTCTATGCTATGAACAATCACTACTTACTTCACTTGGTCTGTAGAACAAGTATCCAAATGACTTTGGAGGGTAACCAAGAAATATACACTTCTCGACTCTAGGCTCCAGTTTGTCGGATCTAGGTTCCAGTTTGTCATAGGTCTCACGCCTACCGAGAGCTTCACAACCCCAGACCTTGATATGTATGAGTGAGGGAGGTTTTCCACTCAACATCTCATGAGGTGTTTTGGAAACCTTTTTAGTAGGAACAAGATTTAGTATATTGGTGGCAGTCTCTAAGGCATACCCCTATAATGATATAGGAAGCAGAGCTCGACTCATAATGGAATGAACCATGTCCAGCAAGGTTCGATTTTTCCTCTCGGCCACACCATTAAGTTGTGTTGTCCTAGAATGGGTCAATGGTGAAACTATTCCACATTCCTTAAGATATTCATTGAACTCGATACTAAGATATTCTCCACCTCTATCATATTGGAGCATCTTTTTCGTCTTGCCCAGTTGATTCTTGATTTCGTACTTAAACTCTTTGAACTTTTCAAAAGTTTTTGACTTATGTTTAATCAAATAAACATACCCATATCTACTGAAATCATCAATAAATGTCACCTACTAGCGATTAACATCCCTTGTGGCGAATCTAAAAGGTTCACACATATCGGTGTGAATTAGGTCCAATAATTCCTCACCTCTTTCACAAGTCCATGTTAAAGGTGATTTAGTCATATTGCCTAACAAACAAGATTCACATTCATCATTTGTCCTATAGTTAAATGGTTCCAACACTGCATCCTTTTAGAGTTGGACGTTGTTTTTGTTGTTTATATGCCTAAGACGACAATGACATAAGAATGCTTTGCTTAAACTATTATAATAATCAATATTATATACACAATTGCCAAAATTATTCATACACGCAACATTTTTATACATGACATTACAAGGATAAGCTTTGAAAAATAAAAACATCATTCTCATAAACAAAAATTGCATTATAAAACGAGTAACAAAATCCTTGTCTAAATAAGGCATGAAATGAAATTATGTTCCTTGTTATATTAGACGAATAAAAAAAATTTAAGTAAATCTACTCTAACACCACTATCAAACAGAAACTCATAAATCCTGATCCTTCTATCATGTGAAGAATGTCTCTTTTCCATGATCAGGTTCAGCTTCCTATTCTCGACTCTCTTACTTTCCCTTTGTCTCTACATATCAGAACAAATGAGAAAACCACATCCTTTATCAAGGACCTGAGAATTAGAAATGTGTGTGTTATTAGTATCTATAATGTATATACGTAAAGAAGAGCCAATCACTTTTTATTTTCCTTTTTTCAACTCTTTTAGCTATTACGGTAAGCTTCTCTTCCAATGCTCCTTTTAGCCATAGTGAAAGCAAATGACCTTTTTCGGATCATTAACATGCAGAACTTCATAGTAAGCTTTTCCCTTTTGACCCACCACTAGACTCTCCAATGTGGGCTTTCCCTTTCCACTTGGGTTGGGTGATAGCTTTCCTTTTCTTCGCATGGCCTTGATGAATGGCCAGGTAATGAGCAGTAACAACACTAGTAGGATAAGATTTATTCATTCTCGATTCAGTAGTTTGCAACAAATTATGGAGTTGTACCAATGTAATTTTTGTAACATCCCAAAAATTCATATAACTTTTTCATTTTTAAATTCATTTCAATCATACGATAATCATATTGAAACAGTCGAGAGTATATCATAACAACATTATATCAGAGTACAAAATCCAAAAATCACATGATGCGGAAATTAATAGGTGGATGCAATGCGATCAATTCGGGCCCTTCTCCTTCGAGTTGAAAGTAGAAACATAAATTGAAAATCGTAAGCACAAAGCTTAGTGAATTCCCTCAAAATACCCCATACTATACATAGATAACAATCAAGTGGAGATTTTATGAATATTTCCATGACACCATAACTTCTTATATAGACAATTTTGACAATTTGTGAGCATATAGACTTGTGTGTACTATTTTCAAAACCTAAAATCATGTAATATTCATATATGTGGTTATTAACTTATTATAGGTTCTTATATAGACAATTTGGACAATTTGTGAACATATAAAATTAAAAAAGAGTTTATTAATTTATTATATGTTCCATACCGGTAGAAGTTAAAATGAGTTTTGGATAGAAGTTTTTTAAAAGCAACTTATAGTTGTCCCTCATTGGAGAACATTCATTTTTATAAGTTACTACTCCTTAACTTGTCAAAAACTCTTCAACACTTTTTTAAAAACTCTATTTTGATATCGTTATAAGCTAATAAACTAAAAAGTTAAAGAATGTTTATCTTTTAATAAGGACTCTTAAACACCCCCTTAGAAGCCAATTTTAACCCATTCACACGTAATTTGAATTGATTTGAAATAGCTACATATGATATAGAGCTTTATATCACTAGTTAAAAGTAGCCCAAACTTTTAGGGTTTAGATTATTTTTAATCACTAAAAATTTTTGGATATTTTATTTGGGAAAATTATACACTGTTTAAGTTAACATTGGTCGGTAAACTTGTTTATTTTGTTCATTTTGATCACTCTAACCGACGATAGAAGGTATATAAATCTGAACATCATTATAAAGGTTATAATTAGTCATTGAACTTTTCTAGATGTTTTATTTTAGTCTGTTTAAGCTACCATTGGTAACTGGATTTTTTATTTTTTTCATTTTAGTCACTCTAGTTTTTTTTATTATCATTTCGTTAAAAAAAATAATAAGTACTAGTATTTTTTTCCTTTTATCCATAACTAAATATGTTACATCAATTGAGTAAATTATATGAATAATCCTTGTGATATACGGTAGGATGCATATTTTGTCCTATAACTTTTTTAACTCGAATGCTCCTAATAACTTTAAAAGAAGACTATTATGATTTCACAAAGATTATTCAAATAATTTACTTTAAAATAATTGATGTAACAAGTTTAGTTGCAGAGAAATGAAAAAAAATTAAATGATAATAAAAGAAAAGAGTGACTAAAATGAAAAAAAAAAAAATCAGTGATCAATGATAGCTTATACAAAGTATAATGATTAAAATAAAACATCAAGCAAAAGTTCAATGACTAATTATAACATTAACATGTTATATAACGATTATCACTGGTTGAGTAATCAAACCAAAAATAAACAAGTTCAATAACTAATGGTAACTTAAACAAAGTATGATGATCAAAATAAAACATTCAAAAAAATTCAGTAACTAAAAATGATCTAAACCCAAACTTTTATAAATGTTTACAAAATCCTAAATCTCTCCAACGTTTCTAGGCGGGACAATTGCAAAAATAATCAAAAAACTGAATAAAGTTTAAATTATAAAGCTGCCCAAACTTTTATAAATGTTTACAAAATCCTAACTAAATCCCTCCAACGTTTCAAGGCGAGACAATTACAAAAATTCAAATCTCAATAACCATAATACAAGAGTTTAAATTATACGTGGATTGGACTCTTTCCACGACATTCAACCATGTAAAGTGAGCCAAGAGATTAACCTTTTGCAGAAAAATATTAAAATAATTTAATAATAACAGTATATTATTTGTTTATTACTTTAATTCAAATAAATATATTTACTAGATTAGCTATATATGACAAAATTAAACAAAAGATAGATGAACCGTGAAACCTAAACCAATCTATATTGACTTCCATCTAAGCCATACATATTATCATATGCACATAATGAATAGACCATCCTTGTCTCGAGCAAGTAAAAAAAGTGTTATACAATACTTACAAGCTTCAACACTATTCTATTAAAAGATTATAAAAACAAATTACTATAAAATAGCAAAATAATTATATTCTATATTTGTCATTTCAAAGAAAAGACAATCTTAAAGATTAAAGAATACTCACCTCATCTAATCTCTTGTAAAGCATCAAGATTCATTATTCCTAGGCAATAAAAAAAGGTAGTTCAACTACTAAGCATCTCATGCTCATATCCACATACATTTACTTATATATTTTAAAGAATAAAAAGATAAGAGAGCTTTGTGTCGTAGAATAGAATCAGAACAAATGGCAGTTTCCCCATCCACATAATCCCATAACTCACCATCCCAAATCCAACTTTTCAGATCTCTAAATCCATCATCACATGTTCTCTTGTCTCGAGTCAATAACCCACTCAAGTCTCAACACCATAATCCCATTCCCAATCTAAACAATTAACAAGTAGTTATACCCACAAACATTAAAAAAAAAAAAAAAAAAAAAAAAAAAAAAAAACCAAAGATAATCTTTATGTGTCACAATCTATAAAGTCCTAATGGAATCCTATACATTTTTATTCTTATTCCTTAACATTAAAAACCACAACCAAAGCATCAATAGATTCAAATCAGACAAGAAAATGAAACTACGTGCAAAATTCGACAATAACAATGAAAAGGGATATAATAATATTAATTGAAATCATTGATTGCTACATCAGTTATCATAATCCTCACCTCCTCCTTTCAAATCTCTAATTCACCCAACAAAAGAGGGTGAAAAAGGACCAAAACACTTGAGATCTACAACACCCACCACACATGATTACATCAACACCTTGAGTTTCTCAAGAAGAAAGGAAAAGGGGGAAAATTTTACTGTTAATAATAAAATATATCAGAATTAAGATTTGGTAGTTTTCTTAGAAAATTTCCTAAACTGGGCTACCATTTTCAAAGCACACCCAGATTTCTTGTTCTAAAAGTTTCTAATTTTTCTTCTTCTGCTTGTATTTAATTAAAAAAAATAATCAAGTTTCTTAGGAGAAAAAAGAAAAACTCGTTTGTTTTTCTGCTCCTCCTTTGTCGCCAACTTTCAAGCCCAAAAATCAAAACCGGAAATCGGATCGAAACCATGTTATTTACCTACTTATCAAGATTTCAATTCTGTTGAGCCACAAGTTGATCGAGCTGCATTTGCTCAATCCACGCACTCAATGCAGATTGATCCATTTGCTCAATCTGCGCATTCGAATTCCCACCACCACCGCCGCTACTACTACCGCCACCCCCACCACCTGGGCCGCCATACGCCGCCGCCAGCTTTTCCTTCATCTCTTGAGGCGTTTCCTTCACAAGTGATTGAACCCATGACAGATCAGGCTCCTCCCCATTATTCCCACCATTTTCAAAAGATGACGATCTTCGAAGCTTACCAAATTCATTCTCATTAACCCCCCAATCGGGTTTTTCAGACGAACCCCATTTTGACCACGGGTCAACCGAACCACCACCCACAATAGAACCAGATCTAGATCCAAGTTCCCGTGAACTCAAACTCCTAAACTGTTGTTGATTCTCACGTGCCAACATTGAAACCCTAGAACTCATGGGCGAAATCGGGTCAACACTTCTTGGCGACATCCTCCCGGGTGAATTTTGAACCCCAAAAGACGTATTCTTTGGCGAAAAATTTGTATTAATCGGTGATAACAAGCTTTGTTGTTGCTGAAACTGATTAAAAACCGATGAATTATGCCTCGGTGAGAAAACCGATTGATCTGAAAACCGAGGAGACGAGCTTTCAGCTGCAAAAATATCATCCAACTTTGTCGGGGTTAAAATCGTCTGATTATGAACAGCTCTTTGTTGTCTGGATAACTCATTCAGAAGCTGAAGATTCAAATCTTGATCAGACATATCTCGCGCATTAAGAGACGATCTTAATCTACTCGACTGAAGATTACTCCCCGGTAAATGCAAAGACGGGACATTCGGTTGCTGCCAGTTCATATTCGACATTCCGTTTCCCGACGGCGACATCGGCGGTGTAAAAGACGAAAGTGCCCCCGGCATCAAACTCATGGCTGCTGCAAAATCCAACGCGGATGAGGAAGATCGCGGAGACGGGACCGCGGACCCCGTTGAAACAAACAACGGGCGAAGCTCATCTTGTGTGTGAGCAAAGAAACACACCCGGCGGTTACAGCCGGTCCCGTCTTTACACAGACGGGTCCGGTACTGCGCCGGGTGTAACCAACATTCGAATACGCCGTGCGCATATTCGCACATGTCGCCACGGCGACATGTCCCTTTCCGGAAATTCGGACACGGGACACAGCTGTAATGGTACTTCCGTGGGTCCCGCCTCCGCGCGTTTTCGCCAGGGTGGACAAACGGGCATTCCGTCCAATCATGGGAGTAGGCCCGGGAGCATGGTCGGACTTTAAAGGAATACATTCGGAATTCATCGGTTGAATAAATGCTGTTTTTGATATCGGGTAATGATGGGTCAACCGGGTATTCTCTCTTGGAGTCAAATGTTGAAATTTTAGGTGAACAAAGAAGGTCGGTTTCTGACACCGGAGAGTGGTTCTCCGGTGAGTGGTTTTCCGGCGACAATGGGTCTAAAATGGGCGGGTCACAGTCGGATCCGAGAAGATCTTCGAGGGTTTTTTTCATCTCCGGGAGCTTTGGAGAGACAACGATCATATCCACGGGTCGAAGCCCGTTGACATCGATTAGATTCGGGTCGGCCCCACTTAATAAAAGCAGTTTTATAACGTCGACAGCATTTATTGATCCACCTGACGCAGCACAGTGAAGGGCGGTTGTCTTGTCAACTCCACACAATCGATTCACATCGACTTTTGATTGGGAAAGAATTAACTTGAGAACGTCTATGCTTCCGTACATGGCTGCCACCATTAATGGAGTTCTGTGTTCAAGAACCATTTGTTTTGACCCCTTTTGTCGGCCATACCATAATCCGACCTCGTCAATCCCAGATGGGTCGGATTCAATTGATCGGGAGAACCCCTGGATGTCATTATTCGCAGCAAGTTCAAGTAAAGTAGCAAAAGAATCTCCAGTTTCGATACTCAATTGGCTCATATTTTTACACCTGCTAGAGAAATTAGAAACCAAAACAGGATTTAGAATCGATCTTTTTTAAGGGTAAACTATAGATACACCAAGATTATTGATGTTAATTGGACAGTTTCACATATAAATACGAATCAGTTCTTGAAAGATATAAGACGTCAAAGAACTCTATTACACGGATTGGGGAAAAGGTTAAAAGGAAAAGCGAAGTTGCTGAGTGATAACAAACATAGTATGAATAATTGAAGATGTAGACAAGAAGATAGATTAAATCCTTGTACATAAATGGGAAAAAATAAGTTGGGGCCACTGGTAGATGATAATATGCACTTGAAAGAGAATGAAGACAAAATCTTTAGGTTTTTAGAATAGCATGATTGATCACCAAACTAGCCAATCAAAGTTTTCCATAAAAGAAGATTAATTTGGTAGCGAATTTCACTCTGATGTTTCTTATTTTCTTCAATTTACATAAAATCAAAGCAAAATGGAGTGTTTTGAGTTTTGAATACCTAATTTTTGTTATTTGTTGTCAAGAAAGCATGAAATACATCAATGGGTATTTCAGAAAGTTGATACGGGGTCAAAATCAAAATGAAAAGCTGAATCGTTATTCAGCAATTAAGAACAATCAGTTCTTTAAAAGAAGCCCCAAAAACCCATGAGGGAGATAAATATCATAATTTTGAAATGGAAAACCAAAACCCCAAAAATCGTGCTTCGGGAAGGTGTTGTACCACATGCTCACCAAGTTGTACCTTTTTTGCTCTAGAAACTATGAACATGCTCCATCGATGTCATTTCTCGTCCAATAAAACACAAAAATAACATTCCTCAACCGATCAAGAAGAAGATAAATAAGAACAAGTTACAGAAACATACCAAAAGGGTGTTTCAAGAAGTGATAAATGGTCAATAAATTTTCATCTGAAACCAACGGACTGTGTGTTTTTGTGTGTGTACGGACATATACAGATAGAAACAGATTCCAAAAGGGTCTTCAGAAAAACGAAGATCGGAGAGTTTAAGCAAGTAAAAAACACAAGTTTTTCGCCAGAGAACAGAACAGACTTACCACTGATTTTGCTTTACTTAATCATCGAAGGTTTTGAGGGGTTTTCAGATCTAAGAATCGAAGAAAGTGATAGAGTGGGAAGAGAATCAAAAGTAATGATTTCTGAAGGGATAATCAGAAGAGAAGAGCTTCTTCTTGCCTCTTCGCCATTTCCTATGCTCTCTCTCTCTCCCCCTCTTCCTCAACTGAAATAAATTATTACATCGAAAAGAAGTTTCAAATAGGGCCTACATTTTGAAAAGATGGTTACTTTTCACACTTTATTTTATAAAATGACATTATAGCCCCTCTTTCTTTTTATGTATTAATTTAATCCGTTAATGTCATTAGTGTCATAAATGAATACCAAACTATTTGTTTTATTATAAAATGTCATTATTTTAGAAATGGATTCATAAATAGGTAACGCATTATTTGTTTTGTTTATAAAATATGATCGATAAATCGTTATAAATTTAGAATTTATTGAACATCAAAGTAACTGAACCTTCTAAAATAATTGTGTTTTATGAAGGAAAAAAAAAAACACTAACCATTTATAACATCAATTGTAGCTTAAAATATATAAATACTTAAGTAGTATTTTACACTCTATATATTTGTTTGTTTTAGACATAGTATATAACATCTTTGAAAGAACATAACAAGGAAAATCATTATATCTATGGCATTACAATTAAATAGAGTTAAAATACTACCAAACTAACTACTTAATGACAACGACCATCAACATGATATTTTTAAATAAATTTCACATACAAGTGAACTAATTTGATTCATTATGATTTTTTTATTACATAAGCTAAAGATGTTAAACATACATACATAAACAACATTGATGATCTATAAAGTTTTGTATCATCTAATGTCAAATAATGTCTTTCTAACCTGCTAATCTTGTATTACCTTATTGTAACAACATACACGTCAAATGTATAAGGAATAACCGAAATATATTGTTTTATCATATATGGTTTTAATATGATTTAATTTTGTTTTCATTTTTGTTCGTCGTATTAACGGAAAATTATTAATAATTCTTTACTGTTTGTATTATAAAGTCAATCTATATATTTTCAATATATATCTCTAGTATTCATTTATTTTTAATTATAATGGTTGAACATGAAACATGGTGACATTCACTTGGCCGTTAACTTATTTTAATTTGGTATCTTGGTCGTTAACTTATTTTAATTAGCTCCATTCACTTGGTTATAAGGAGATTATGCACTTTACATCTCATAGGATGCATTTTGTGTAGTATACTGTAATAAAAGGGTGTTTATTTATTGTTTTAGAAGTATAGGGGTGGTACCTGAATTTATCCATACATAATGCTCTCTTTTTATTTTGTTGAAAGAAACGCCTACCCAATAAAAGCGGGATTATGTATTTCTTGTCTTTTTCTTTCTTTATTATTTTCGGGATTATTTGTGTACCTAAATAAATAGTCTGAGTAAGTGAAAATAATAAGTGTATTATGTGAATACATATTTTGAAAATATACTGTTATTTTTTATTTTCTTTTTTGTCAAATAGTGACAAAATTAAAGAAGGGTTAGCAGATAGATACATCGTTTTTCTCATTTTTTGTAATTAATAGTAGTTTAAGAAAATCCAATACAAAAGTACAAATTTACAAAATTCGATCCAAAAAATTATAATTAACTTACATACCCATTTCATAGATGTTTTGACTCTATTATTGATGACAAATATAGTGTTACGATTGTTAAGAAACATGACGTTACGCTACTTATTTTATAAAGGTGTAATAATGTTTTGGCATAATTTTACTTTTTTGTAATTTAAGGTTTGGTTTGTCTTTTAATATTTAAAGTTTACCCATTAAGAATTAACTTTAAGCTTTAGAGTTTACTTTTTAAAAATACAGTTTCTAGTCATCAACTTGCTTTTTTGTGTTCAAATGGATACTATTATTGACTTAATAGTTCATCCAAATTTTATTTATGTGGTCCATTTTTTGGTATTATTTAAGCCTAGATAACACTAAAATAAATATAAAAGGTAAAATCATCTCCAGCTTATTTTCATTTTTAATATGAGAGTAAATAAATATAATGTAAATAGTATTTTAGGATCATATCTCGTTTTTATACCAAAAGTGAAATTTCTAATATATCCATTTTCTTTTGTAATTTATATATATTAAGTTTTATTATTTTATTAAATATCTTTTAACAAATATATATTTTATCTTTCATAAATAATATATATAACTTACATTATTATAAAGTTATAACAAATTAAATTTTTCCTATAAAATATGTTAATCGTGTTTTAATTTTTAAAACGTTATTTACAAGTTTATTTGAATTTATATATCAATATTAAATTTTATATTCATCACTGTATCTCATATTGGTGTGTTACGGTTTTCTAATTGGCTATAGATGTTGGAGTCTCTCTTCTTTTCTATAAAAAATGATAACAAAAGCAACATCCGTGCCCTGTAATGTTGATTGGTTAAACATTCAATACCAAGTTACAATCCATCAAACGTGAACCTACATATATAACCTTAACTAACACATATCTCTTAAGCAAACGATAAGCTTAAAGAAGAGATAATGACAATATAAATATAATCCAGAACGTTAGAGAATGTAGAAGTTTTGAACCCAACAGTTTGGTTAGCAAGTCTGCTAACTAATAACGGGTGTGAATTCGAATCGGTGTGATTTCTTTTATTATACTCATTCTCTTACAAAGTACAATCCATTTGTACATGCTTTTTTCGCTCATGAAATACAGTGTTTTAAGCAATGTGAAGTGCCCACTCATTGTTACATAAAAGAGGTGTCGGCTTATTCATGTTCACATTAAAATCTATTAACAACCATCAAGTCCAAAGTACTCATTGTTATATAAAAGAGGTGTCGACTTATTCATGTTCACATTGAAATTTATTAACAATCATCAAGTCCAAAGCTTTTCACTAACGGTGATAGTCATTACTCGATATTCAGCTTCAACTGATGATCGCGAAACAACCGAGTGTTTCATTGACTTCCAGGAGATTGGTGCTCCACCTAAGATCAATAAGTATATAGTTTGTGATCGTCAAGAACAAGGGCATCCCAACGAATCATAATTGATATAGGCAATCAATTTTGTCCCTTTCTCTTTTGGCAACAATATTCCTTAACCCAAAGTGGTCTTGAGGTATCTAAGCACTCTTATAGCAGCTTCCAATGATTTTGTCTAGGATCAAAGACAAATTGGCTCAACACATTTACCATGTAAGTGATATTTGGTATGGTTTCTTGAAGATATAAAAGTTTGCCAACTGGACGTTTATACATGTTGGCATCAATCGATTCAATTTCATCTCCCTTATCAAGTTTGAGGTAGTAACGTCTAGAAAATCCACAATATTTTTTTTCATTTTTAAAACAATAAATCATACAAACGAGTTGTTCCAAAATCGATCAAAGTGAATATATCATTTAAACATCAAAGTAATATCATTAATTACAATGCAGAAAACTCTAGGGAATGTTGTGCAGTCACGTTGGGCCCTTCTCTTTCGAACTGAAAATACCTGAAACCATAAGCATAAAGCTTAGTGAGTTTCCCAAAATACCACATACTAAAACATACAAGTGTCATGGGCTACCCTAGGGGTGTCAAAAAAACCGAAACCCGATTAACCCAAACTGAACCCGAACCCTAATAAGGTAATTAGGGTCGGGTTTAATAGGGTCGGAACTCTTAATCGGGTTATTCGGGTTAACCCGACTAACTGGAATTATTATTAGGGTCGGGTTTAGGGTTGATTTTTTTCAAAATAATTTGGGTTTCGGGTCAACCCGAATAACCCAATTAAGAATTTATTACCAAAACTTTTTTTCCTACGTTGAATGACGTGAACTTAAGATCCCATAAGATTTTACAACTAATACATATTCCTTATTTAAGCAAACCAGATAATAAAATTACTATGTATAGAGATGTATAAAATGACATAATTTTCCTCTCTTCTTAATGCAGTATGGTTTGTTTGTAACAGTTTTACAAATTTTATTCACTGTTTACATTACTAACATGGTAAAAGAAACTCCAAAAATTCATATTATATACCAACTTTACATTTTAAGTCCCAATACATGTGGATTATGTATTAAAATGGCACAACATAAATTCATCTTATATTTCAACCTCAACCCACTACCCGATTAACCCGATCCTACTAACCCGAAACCCGATTAACCCGAACCCGACTAACCCGTACCTTATTAGGGTCGGGTTACGGGTGAATATTTTTTCTAGAAAAACCCGAATAACCCGACCCGTTCAACCCGAAACCTGATCGGGTTAACCCGATTAACAGCCCTAGGCTACCCCATGGTCTTTCCTTGCAGTTTCAAGGTTCAAATCACGGCCTTACATACAGGTGTCACGGCCCAGATCCTAGTCTTTCATACAACTTTCAGGGGCCAGATCTTGGTCCTTTATACAATTACCAGGGACCAGATCCTGGTCTTTCGTATGATTATCATGGGCTAGATCCTAGTCTTTCATGCAAGCATCACAGAGACGACTAGGATTCCACATAACAAGTAATGGACCGGCATTGGTGCCTTTGACCCATGGATATAGTGAGAACACTCACCTCACATTCTGAAAGAATAACTGCATCGATCATTGCTCTAAAAGTTATCTCTGCCGGTCACATATGCAATTATCAGCAACCCAAATCTCAAACTATAAAGCAAATTACCCAAAATGCCCTTATGTCAAACTTGGTCAACCCTGGTCAAAGTCTAAGTCAACGGTCAAGGTCCAAAAGTCAATATTTCTTCCCAGCAGAGTTTCTCATGCGTACCAAGAAAATACACCTAACGTACTCTGATGTTGACCAAAAGTAGGGCGTGGACTGCGTACGCGTAACTTACCACCAAGTACGCCCAACGTATGCAACCCAGTCCTAAAACTCCATTAAGAGCTTATTTCATTGATCCCTTACGTCCAAAACTCATATCCAATCCCAAAATGATGTCCTAAATCATAACGCTTCCAACTTTATGATTTTCACGTCTATAAAGTGCTTAATGTCCAAAACCCTAAGTTCTTAACCCAATAAGACATCACAACTATTGTATGGAAGGGATAGAAGGGCCAAGATCACATTTTTATGGTTCATAATAGCTCCAATCTTATCCATTAGAATGGTCCCAACAAACAACATATATCGTTTATGTGGCATCCTCATTTTCACGGTCAGAAAAGACCGATTTTGTTTATGCTTTATAAAAATCAGAGTTCTTCTTTTAATAAAAATGTTGCGGAATTTGTTCCCATAAAGACATGATAAATATGTTATTAAAACATTTTCGGAGAAACGTATTTTATTCATTTCAAAACGTTTGGGATGTCATCGTTAATACAGAAACATAAGCATAAACAGAACTTACATTTATTTACACTAGTGATCTACATCTCTTTAAATCTCTCAGTGTAAAGTGACTTCGTATCAACACCTGTGATATAAATAAACTGAGTGGGTCAG